ATGTGATTGTGATGCTGTATTTCTGAGTGTTTTATGTGCTGCAGAACAGGAACCTGCTGTAAAACAGCAATTATGCTGAGTCAGGCTTGATTTTTAGTAATCTTTTCCTGTTGAATCAATAAATCAAATCAAATCAACTTTCTGATTGAACCTGCTTTGATGAGCTAACAGCTGGTCTGACAAACTTGTCACAGTTTGTGTGACAACGTGAATATTTTTAAAGGCAGTTACCACCAGCAGCAGCAGCTAGCTGTAGCATTTTGGTGCAGCCTGTGGCCCTTTCTATAGGAATATCATAACTTTTCAGACGTAATGATGGCAATGTAAAGGTTCAAGTATACGATTAAATAGGGTAATCTTTTTTAAAGACTGAAAAGGCTTTAAGAAGAAATTAATCCACTTTGAACTAGCCATTAGCTCATCACTATATGCTCATTTATAAATCTGCTCTGTGGGATGGACGCACAGTCTCACACAGCTCAGCTTACCTTTTCATGTCAACTGTTTAGGCTCTACCTGCTTCACAGCACAAAGGTGCATCAGGGATGGATTAACTTCAACCACCACCCCCCACCCCATCGCTGTGGTCTATTCAGAAACCACACTGAGCCTTCTGTTTCTCTAAACTGAGCTTGTTCAAAAAAGCTATCTGCAGCAGGTAAGATATTACATTTTAAACCTTTCAAAGAAGGATATTTAATTTGTTTTGGAAACATGATAATGAAAGTCAAGCTCTGGTTTTCTATCTGATTCTACCTAGCAACACAAACTTGATTACTCTGTTATCTTTATATGGCAGAAAGAAATCCCAGCAGAGTCATGACAGTGTGTGAGTCTGTGTGAGTGTGTGTTCTGATGTTTGAGTCAACAGAAGATAAAATAAATTAGGTAAATGTATCTCTAATTTCCATCATGTAAAGGTTGCTCTCTCAGTGAGCACACAAATATAGTTAYATATCAAAGAGTATAAAGGAGACCATTACAGCTTTGTTTTTTTTAAAAGTCAATAAATCTTTTAAAAGGAACCAAATCAGTTCTATGAGGATCTTTTGTGTGTGTGCCTCTACCTGAGAGGAAGCTGGTGTTGCCGCCGTCCGACTGTTGTTTCCGCAGGCAGAAGGGGCTGTCGTGGCTCTCAGGGATGCTGCGACTGCGCTCGTGAAGAAGTTCCATCAGCCGCCGCCGCCGCCGGAAGTTCATCCGGAACTGGTAGAGCAGAGGGCCGTCGACAAAGTGATGCTTGTTGGTGACTAAGACAAGAAAAAGATATAGAGGCATTTTGTTACGAAAATAAAGAGGAAGAAATAAGAGATGTTTGGTGAAGGTACTGATTTAACAATTTCTCAATATTATTGAGCAACTCTTAATATACAGTATGTATGAAACATATAAATAACTTTTAAAATATAGAATAGTTATTTGTAATAACTGAAGCATAAACTAAGACTAGATACAATTAAAGGTTTTACAGCCAAGTTATAATAATTTTAACAACTACATTAGTGCGCCCAAGCTGAACACAAACAATCAATCTGAGTTATCTCAACAGGTTAAATAAGACCAATATTTAATTTAATAGATTTGTCGAGCTGAACCTGATGATGTTTGTTATTGTCAGTTTTACATGATGAAAATACAATACAAACACATCTGTCCTGTCTATTTTCTGTCTAAACCCTCTAAAGGTTCTGTATCACATTAACTAAGTGAAGAGATAACACACAGAACTGTGTGTGCCTGTGGGGCTTTGTTTTTAATACATTGTGGGGACAAAAGGAAAAAAACTGTATAGGTCCTCTGGACGGGTTCTTCTTAAATGAAACGTTTCGTCTCTCTTCCAAGAGACTCTTCAGTCTGAGAGTTTAAGGCAAAATTCAGGCTTTTGGGTCCTGCCTTGAGGTGACTGATACTCACT